GGGGAGAGGGAGACCGGCTTGTTGTCTCTGCTGATCAGCTTTGCGTTATTCTTGTTTTACAGACCGGTGGCGCTGGCGGGTCTGCCGGACTCGGCTGCTCGGACGGACAAGTCTACAGGGACAGCCCCTGCTGCTGCTGCGGTTGAGGTGAGTGAGGTCGTGTTGATTTTTATTTCCATTTAGACGATTGATCCAGCCGAAGCTGGCTGTTATCTTTCGGTCTGGAAAGACAACCAGGGTCGCTCCGCGGCCAGGCACGATGAGCAAAGCGCGCGCACGCCGAACGTGTGCATTTAGGGGGATTACAAATGCCGAGCTATTTTCGTAAACAATAACGTTGGCGGCGCATCGGGTCGAGAGCAGAGAGGGGACTCGGCCGAGGAGGAGGAGGAGAAGAAGAAGAAGTTGAGGACGAGAAGAAGCGGAAGCGCGGTACAGTTGTGTGTGGCAGTCCATGAATGTCGTTATAATACAGGGTTTGACGACGCCACTTCCCACACCGCCGCCGCTACTCGTATATCCTTCGCGGCCCCGCGGCCGGCTGGGCCCGCGGTCATAACCACGACCCGGGCCGAGGGGTGCGGCGGCGGCGGCGGCGGCGGCGGCCGGAACCTGTTGCTTGCTCGCTCGTGTTCTCGAAACGCGCGGCCCGGAAGCCCCCGGCGGCGCGGACGGAACACACCCGCGCGCGCTTTTAGGGGGGATACGCAGACGCCAAAGTTTCACGTCTGCTCCGCGTGGGCTGGCCTGCTCTGCCCTGACCCTGCTGCGCGGCTGCGCCTCCCCTTCCGGATCCTCATCCCGCCTCGTCCTCATCTTACCCCCCGGACCTCCGGGGGCTCCTCCGGGGTGCCTCCGCCGAGGCTCCTGCCGGGTTGCTCCGGGCGGGCTCCGGTGTATATGCATAGCGGTTCCTGGCTATAGTCCCCCTCGCCCCGCAGCAGCCGACACCGTACCGTTGGCCGCGGTGTGTCGGGGGGGAAGGGGGTGGTGGGGAGCGCCGTTCGTTCGTCGCAACCCGAATTTAAAACGTCTTTTGTCCGGCTGCGTCTCCGCTCCCCTTCTTCTTGGGCTCCCCTTCTTCCTCGCCTTTCATCCGTCCTGCCCGGGGCTGGGCGCGCGGGCGCGGGCGCGGCGTGTACATCGCGCTGCTCCTCCTCGCCATGGAGCACCCGGCGGCCGCGACCCGGCTCAGCTTGATTGGAACGGGCCATAGCCTGCGCGTTGTAAAGGCTCGGGGCTCGCGGACGTAGTACCGCTGCGGGGTGCCGCCCGGGTCCGCCCGGGTCCGACGGCAGCGCGGCAGAGGCAGGAACATTGACCTCGAGGCCGAAGGGGCTGCTGTTTCATCAAGATGATGTAGCAACGTATCTGGCCTGGCCTGCCGCGGCCGGCCTCCCGAGGCGGCTCCCCTTGAGGCAATGTCACCGCCAGGCCGATGGACTCGCCGCCGTCGCCCAGCTCAGCTCTCGCAGTGCGCGCGCTGCGCCTTTGGCGCACCGCGCCTCCGCACTGCAAAAGCTAAACCGTACCGCAGGGGGAGTCACAGTCACACTCCCGCATTATGCATGCAGGAACCAGCTGGGGCGCCCCGGCTATTGGAAGAACGGAACTCGCGACCCCGTCGCACCCCGGGGGCGACCCCCCGCGCCCCCGCCCATAGCCCCGCGCCCCGCGCCCCGCCGCCACGCTCGACCCAGCGAGGGCGCCCCCGGGCCCGAGGTGCGCGTTGGTCAAAACCGAAAGTCGGTTCCGCGCGCGATGAACCCTGGCCGAGCTGCTCGCTGCGCCGCGACTCGCTCTCTCTCTCTCTCTCGCACTCGCTTCCCCCTCGCCGCGTCCGCCCACTATCTCATCTCGGGGGAGCATGACTCTCGCGTTCCTGACCTTTCTTTCTCGTGAGCAAATCTCGACGGACAGTTGCGTCACTCGAAAAATTATTTGGCCCGCTGAGACGCAGCACACGACGAAGGAGAGCTGCCCAATAGATAAAGATTAAAAGGGGGGAGAGGGGGGAGGGGTGGAGGAGAGTGTGGGGTCACGTGGGGCTATGGGCTCCGTGCAGCATCTCTGGTGTGAGGTACGCGTTGGGAGCGTTCAGCGCGGCGGTCGCACAGCGGACATATGTGTGCATGCAATGCCGAGACCTTGTGTGCCGTAGGGATGGAGGGAGGCGAGGGGCAGCGGGGAGGAGGAGGAAGAGGAGGAGAAGAATGTCGAAGAGAGCCTCCAAGGGGTGCGTTAGGGTGGAGAGGAAGGAGGAGGAGGGGAGGAGCAGGAGCCGAGGCGGATGAGGGGAGGGGAGAG